CCCCCGCCGCATTCCTCCTCTCCTCTCTGCCTCCTGCTAAAACCATCTCCAGTTGGGCTCAGTGGCTCAAGCCTATAATCCCAGCACTTTGGGAGGCTGAGGCAAGAGAATTGCATGAGCTCAGGGGTTCAAGACCAGCCTGGGCAACTTGGTGAGACCTCATGTCTACAATAAATCAAAAAATAAGCCAGGCATGGTAGCGCAAGTCTATGGTTCCAGTTACTTGGAAGGCTGAGACAGAAGGATTGCCTGAGCCCAGCAGGTAGAGGCCGCAGTCATCGTGAACATGCCACTGCACTCCAGCCTGTGTGACAGAGTGAGACTCCAACTCAAAATCAAAAACAAAAACCCATCTCTAACTTCTCAAGGAGGAAGGAAACCATCACAGTTTGTTTAGGTCTCTGTGCCTTGTCCTGTGTTGGCTATTTTTACATGAATTCGCTCAACCATTACATCAACAAGGTAAGTCTTATTATTCCCATTTTCAGATGATGGGAATCAGCAATATTAAGCACTTTGAAATAGACTAAGGGAGTTTTCTTTATCTAAGTATTGCAAGGTTGTATAATGAAACAAAAATTTCAAAATGAACTAGGCCCACTATAACATCTCTCTCTGATTCACACTGTACTCTCAGTTCATCATGTGAACAACCTTTGCTTTTTCTGGGTAGAAAAAATATAACTATGAAAGTACCAGAAGATTTGTATCATTGTAAAGATTGGTTTGCACAAAAATAATTAATGAATGCCAAATCTAGGAGGAAATTTTGGTCAGAAGCAGGATATTTGCATGATCTTAAATGCTTCACCATAGACTGCTTATTAGTTGCAAAAGAAAAACAGTAACTATACAGTAAGGAAACCAGTTAACACCTTAAATGTAGCTGGTATGACTGAGGAACTGAATTTTTTAATATTAATTGATTTTCAATTAAGTAGGCATATGTAGCTAGGGGGTGCCTTACCAGACAATGCAGAATAGATACTTTACTGTCCCCAAATGTTAGTAATCTGTCTTACTCTCTTCAGAGTCAACAGCTGGGAGCATGAACCTCCCCTTCTTTCCTCACATGATGCTCCACCCCTCCACACTACTGGGACCTCCCTGATTATCACTGCATTCCCTGGTTCCTGGTTTTCCGAAACATTTCGTTACTCCATATCCTGCTGCAACTGTGATCACTCTGCTTCCAACCTTCGCTTGCACTTACTCTTTCATCATTATTTAGTGGAGTTGTTGATTCTGATGTCTGGCACCGAAGTTACAGAAGCAGCACAGTATAGTTGCAAATCACACACACGTTAGCAGAGCTGCTCTCAACATGGGGGTTAATTCTGCCTCCCAGGGATATGTAGCAATGGAGACATTTTTAGTTGTCACAACTGCAGCATTGTGGTAGAGGTAGTAGTGCTACTGGCATCTAGTGGATAGTAGTCAGGGAAACTGCTGAATATCCTACAGTGCACAGAATGACCCCGCAAAAATAATTATCTGGCCCTAAATGTAAATAATGTCAAGATTAAAAACTCTGCTCTGGAGCCAGACCTCCTAAGTTCAAATCCTATCCCTGATACTCATTAGCTGTGTGACCTTGGAGGAAATACTTAACCTTTTTGTGCCCTGGTTACCCCATTTGTAAAACTGAAATAGTAGCAACTATCTGATAGGGCTGGATGGAATGAGTTAATGTGTGTAAAGTTCTAAAACATTACCTGGCACATGTCATATAAATCTCAGCACTTATTATAACCACAGATAAGATTGGGGGAACATCTAACAAGATTCTAAATGACAAATATTCCTCATAAAGATTGTAGGAAAGACTGACAGGTGTGTGTGTGTGTGTGTGTGTGTGTGTGTGTGTGTATCCCCCCCTTTCTTCCTTAGTAATGAAATCCTAATTTTACTAGAAGTTGTACTCAGCTCTGGCAACTAAGTGAGGCTAATGAAATGCAAGTGTAAATATTGTTGGGGATTCTGAAAAGGCTCCTAAAAGAGAAATGTTCACCTTTTTGGCATCTAGAATGCACGTTTGATGGCTAGAAAGCAAGCAGCCACCTTGGACCATAAAGTGCCTAGACTAGAGTATGCAAGACAGCGTTAGGAAGGCAGAATAGAAAGACAGAAAAAGCCTGAGAACATGATAATAGTGGAGCTGTCACACTAGCCCTGGACTGACTCTCCCAGACTTCTTTTGCATGAGAGAGAAGATTCTACCTTGTTTAAGCCACTGCTACTTGGGGTTTTCATTGTGGAACCTAAGCCTAAGTGACTTCAGGTAAAGCACCAGAGGAGATCAGCCTACCTCCACAGATGTTGGAACATTTCCTGACTTTAGGAACTAATGTTGGCTGAAGTGGATGGTCCAATATCCATTAAACACACACACACACACACACACACACACACACACACATTGTTTTTAGGTATCCGAGATGGAGCTTTCTCTTTACATAATACACTCAGTTTTCTCATTACATGATCTAGGACATGGAGAAAAATACGGTAAAATCATCCTCTAACACCAATAAAACTCTGCAAGGACAACTGCTCCCAATCTGGATGAATCTGTGCAAACAAAATACACAGGCTCTTATAGAGGTTAAGCTGCCATCTTTACACTGGGCTAAAGACACTGGTTCCAGCTTAAAACTCAGTATTCATCCAAGAATACACTTCTCTCATCAGTCCACACTTTCCAAATGCTCCCAGTTTTGGCTTCATTGTACCCTGAGTGGTCTGCAGGACAAACTCTTCCCCTGGGTGTGCCTGTCTAATCTCAGAAGGTGGCTTTCCTCTATGTATTGTGATGTAGACTAGCACACAAATTTTAACTTGTCTCTCAATTCTCCAGATCTTGTAAATATGCAAATTCAGATTCAGGAGATCTGGGGTAGGGCCTGAAACTCTGTCTAATAAGGCCCCTGGGAATAAAGAAACTTCTCAGTTATGGACTACACTTCAGTTTTCATGGATACAGATTCTCACTTTCTAGGAGAATTCCTTCCTTCTTTCTCAACCTGTCTAACCCTCCCACGCTTAACTTTTTTCCTTCACCAACTCCCCTAGCATACTCCTTGCCATACTTTCCTGATGGATGCAAAGCTAAGCACAAGGCTGCTGGGCCTATACTAACCTTTTCTGTCTGTCCTGAACATGAAAAATTGCAAGAAAGCTACACTCACCTGGGAACACACAGTCTGGAGCATGGCTGAAGACTCCTGCTTTCATGTACTGCCCTCTCAGTTTGGAAAAGTAAGAACCTGTGGAGCAAAGAAGAGAGAGAGCCACAGTGAAACTGACCTTTTCTTTTTTCCCACACTTGCGTCTCTTCCCATCTGTGCCCTCCCACTATCACTGGAAGCAGATATTCTTGGGACACGCTGGTTGTTCTCACTCCGCTCTCTCCACTGATTCGTGATGCTGCAAATACTCCCTTTGTACGTTCTCCCATAGATCTGGCTGGAGAAGCTGGAAATTCCTAGAAAGAATAGCTGTGAAGCAAGAATCGAGAACTGCAGCGGATTCGTTGCTTTTAAGAAAACCCTTGGCCCCGCTATGAATACACTACTAAGTAGTTTGTAGTGAATACGTCCATGATCATAGCAAAGACTCAAAACGAGTCTCTGAAGAGAAAGTAAGATGATGAAGATCCCTGAACCACTTAACGGGTTGCAGGACAAATATCTAAGTGGTAGCCTGGGCTCGGATGACAAGGGTAAGACGCTCAATTGTCCCAGTGAGCGATGCTGACGCTGGAATCTGAACGCTCCACCCCCGAAAGCAGACGACCCGACAGTCACTGGCCCCCCACTCTAAATACCGTGACCCAGGGGGCATCAGGCCAGCTTTTCGGATTAGGAAGGTCGACTGCGCCTCTGAGGGAGGGAGCTGGACCCGGACTCTGGGCACTCGCGCGGGCCCCTCGGGCGACGTCTGGGAGGCCCAGACGCACAACCTTCAGGACAAGGGGCCGAGTTGGAAACGCCAGGTATCTCACCCGCAGCTCCGGCAGCCCAGCCTAAGGTGGTCAGGAAGCGCGAGCGGGTGGGCTGTCCCTGGTGCCTCTCTAGGAAGCCGGGAGGCGGGCCCTTCTCTATGGTTCCCCCAAGCCAGACTCTCCCACCCCTCCGCTTCCGACGCCTCTCAGTCTTTTTTTTTTTTTTCTTCTTCTTCTTATGTCTTAGCACCCCAACTAGACGATAAATTTCTCAAGGACAGAGAGTCCATATTATTCTTGTGATTCTTTGAATTCTGGCAATAGCGCTTACTATCAGTAATGTAACCTTCTAATGAATTTACAGCCTGTCTCCCACTAAATGGCTCATTGACTGGACTGTGACCTGAGACCATGGGGTCTGGGGTCTCATTGTCTACGTTCCTGGCTGCTGGCTCCACTATTTATTAACTGCATGGACTTGCTCAAGTTAGACTTAAATCTTTACCTCAGTTCCTCAATTTCAAACGGTGTTAGTTTTGAATTTATAAATTAAGTGGATTAACTGAGTCAATTCATGCAATAACACTTAAAGCAGTTTCTGATTCTGTACCACACCTGAGTCAAAATAAGTTCTAAACATATTGCTGCTGACATTATTATTATTCCTGTGTATCATCTCCTATAAGACACCCCCTATCTCTTTCTCCAGCCCAGATACAATAATAATCATGGCAATAGTGCCTCTTATAGTCCAGGCACTGTGCAGGTAACTCAGAGCTAGAGACCTGTGTTTCAAAATGCCTATTTTTTGTTTCTACTTAACTATTACACAAGAGCCTAAAATTTAAAATGCTCCAAAATAATCTCATTATCCTCCCCTCACCCTCCTGTTCCTCCTCCATGGTTCCCCTATCTCATTGAAATCCGCCAGTCTGCATCCAACCACCAACTCAGTCACCTGGAAGTCATCACTGACTCCTCTTGTCTTCTCACCCCGGATTACTTCCTAGCCATTCCTTGGTCTCCCTCCAATCTTTGCTTTCCTTACTGCAGCCAGGATAATTTAAGATACAAATCCGGTTATGACACTGTTCTGCTTTTTAAAGCCCTTCAGAAACATCTGCATCGGCCAGGTGCAGTGACTCAAGTCGGTAATTCCGACACTTTGGGAGGCCAAGGTGAGCGGATTGCCTGAGCCCGAGGTTCGAGAACAGCCTGGGCAACTTGGCGAGACCACATCTCTACAATAAAAATTTAAAAATTAGCCGCGCATGGTAGCACGCGCCCGTAGTTCCAGCTACTTGGAAGGCTGAAGCTGAAGGATTACCTGAGTCCAGCAGGTGGACGCTGGGGTGGCCGTGAGTGGGCCACTGCACTCCAGCTTGGGTGGCGGAGTGAGATGCCTACTCAAAAAAAAAAGTATCTGGATCTTTCCAATATTGTTTCTAAATCTTTCAGATTTGAGAAAAACTTATCCCTCAATTATTTTCTAATATCGTAGGTGATGGTCTTCTGAACCCCTATGCTTACCCTGTAATAGCGCACTGCTGACATCACCTTTTTACTATCTTCTCAGTAGACAGTGAGCTCATGCTAGAGTTTGAATATCCCCTCCAACACTTATCGGTATTAAAGGTGGGACCTTTAAGAGGTCTTTAGGTCAGGAGGGCTCTACCCTCATAAATAGATTAGTACTATTATCTATTTGTTGAATGAATGAGCTTATTTCCCTTCTCTTAGCCTGCTTCACATGAAGTTAGTGAAGTCAAAATATCATGTAAAGCAAATGAGATGTGTATGTAAAGGGGCCAGAGCAAAAAAGAACTCACAAATTCTGGTTCCTGTTCCTACAATTTCCAATAGTGCCTAGTCCAAAGTATGAGAAATTAAGTGGTCTGATGGACTCCCTTCTAAGTTTTAAAGGATCATCATTTTAAATCTAGAACTCTAAAGAGCCAAACTATTACACAGATAAGGCGTCAAAATAAAAATACTGTCAGACAAGTAAGAATTTAGAAAATGTATTACAGATGTTAAATGAAAGACATACTAGAGGATGCAGTCTATGGAAATAAACACAAAAATAAATCCAAGAAGAAATGGTGGAATGCAAGAAACAGTGGTAAGCCAAGAAATCACTTAAGATATTATTAAACCTCAGTAAGTATTGCCTCTTTTAGCTATTGCTCAGCGAGGGTAAGTGAGGGATACAGATGCTGGTTCATTTTTATAGGTTAATAGAATGATATAAATAGAAGGTATGTGACTTCCAAACCAATTGTAGAAACAAAAGGCATAAACATAGGGGAGGTTGGGGGATTCCACCAAAATAGGAGGGCAAATGGAAAACACAAAGTAAAATGACATAAATAAGTCTAATGATAGGAATAATGTAATGCAATATAAACGGGCTGCATTAATATATAAAAAGACAGATTGGGCTTAAAAAAACAGTTTATGTTGTTTACAAGGATGCACAAAAAGCAACAAAAGACAGTAAAGTTAAAAATAAAAGAATAGAAAAAGATCTACTAAACAATTGCTAACAAAAGCAGATATGACAATATTAATATCTGAAAATATATCATTAAAGAAAAGCATGACAAGAAATCCTTAAGACAGAGACATTCATATTGGAAAACAGTCTAATCCATGAGAAGGTCTAATAATAATGAACTTGATGCTCTTTATATAAAGCAACAACTGATAGATATGAAAGAAATTGGCAAATCCACATTAGTAAAGACAAACTTTAACATATGAAATCTTTCTATTTAAAATCAAATAGCTAAAATATAAGGATATGAATAATTTAAATAACTATTTGAATAGCTACTAGCAAGATTATTATACCCAGAAAGAACAAAATATACATTATTTTTAAACTTAAGTGTAACACATAGGCAACTAAGAAAAATTTAAATTTCAAAAAGCAAATGTCAGCTGGGCATGATGATTCACTTCTGTGATTCCAGCACTTTGGGATGCAGAGGCAAGAGGATTGTCTGAACCAACGGGTTCGAGATCAGACTGGGCAACATAGTGAGACCTTGTTTTTACAATAAATGAAAAAATTAGCTGGGTGTGGTGGCGCACGCCTGTAGTTCCAGCCACTTGGAATGCTGAAGCGGAAAGATCGCCTGAGCCCAGCAGGTCGAGGCTGCAGTGGCTGTGAGGGTGATGCTGGACTCCAGCCTGGGCGACAGAGTGAGACTCCAACTCAAAAAAAAAAAAAAATGTCCTACCAGTCACACTCTCTAACAACAATGAAATACACTTACATATTAAGAATAAAACTTAGAAAACATATAAAACTCTATCTGAAAAATTTTAAAACAGCTACGCATACTACTAAATATTGCTTCAGCTGAAATGAAAATTAAAACAGCTTATAAATTAAGAAATCAAAGAAAAAGAAAAATAAAACGTGTGGTATGACTAAAGCAGACTCAATAGAAAGCACATAGAGATATAAATACAAATATGAGAGAACAAAAAAGCTTATAAAAAAAAGAAAAGAAAAAAGAATTAGGCTTTCTATTCAAAAAAAGCTAGAAAGGCCGAGTGCAGTGGCTCATGCCCTTGATCTCAGCACTTTGGGAGGCTGAAGCAGGAGGATTGCTTGAGGCCAGGAGTTCGAGATGAACCTGGGCAATATAGTGAGATCCTGTCCCTACAAAGAATAAAAAAATTAGCTGAGCATGCTGGCATGCACCTGTAGTTCCAGCTACACAGAAGGCTGAGGTGGGAGAATCACTTAAGCCCAGGAGTTCAGGGTTGTAGTGAACTGTGATCGAATCACTGCATCCTCTACAAGTGGTGGTTCTTTTATGTATTTTACTGTAGTATATAGAATATAGTAGTACAGAATTTTTGTTTCAACTCTAGGATGTCTGGAAACAAGTGTAAAAGCAGTAGTGATGTAGTCAATTGTGTTAGTTGGGTACCTAGCCTAATTTTATTGGACTTACGAACACAATGGACTTATGAATGCACTCTCAGAACAGAACTTTTTCCTATGCAGGGGACTTACTGTACAATGAAATAGAAAAAGAGCAATGAAATATGAAAAAAGAAGACAATAAAACTAAAAGTTGGTTCTGTGAAAAGTCCAATAAAAGAGATGAAACTTCTAAGTTTCAAAAAAAAAAAATAGAATAGATGCATATAAACAATAACAGACACAAGAAAAGGGACACATTCCTTCAGACATGGAAATGAAAAAAATAACTTTATACCAGTAAATTTGCTTGAGTCCAGGAATTCAAGACCCACCTAGGCAACATAGCAAGACC